AATGTAGAAGAATTAATAATGTCAATTTTTTAAATTATAATGCATAATAGGGACGATTTTTTGATGATGTCAGATGTAAATATGCAATTGGAATTGTAGGAAATCTGGTAGTTATTAATTAAAATTAATAAATATTAAATAAATATTAATTCAAAAATTACATCGTGTATAAGATAAATAATTAATTAGTAATTGTGTGTTGCTATAATATCAAATTTAAAATAAGCAGATACAAAACTAGTATTTTAATTGTAAATACACGAATAATATTTTGCGATTAATTAAAATTATAGCACATTAATGAAACAATCCCCAAAATATGCAAATACGTATAACAATAATATTTTTCTACGAATAAAAATTCAAAATAGAATGTACACGAAAAAATCTCTAAATTTTGATAATTTTATCTTTGTATAATTGTATCTTTTTCTTTCTATCTAACAAATATCTAAATTTATGAGAATTAATTAGAATTAATTAATAAAAATTATGAGAATTAATGATAATGAGGATATAAATATATAAGAATTGTAGTATTTTTCTGCTCAATAAAATTATTATTATTTCCATTCGATTTTATTTTATTTTTTCGAGAAACACGAGATATTCAGGCAGTCAGTATTATCTGTCATTCTCACAAAGAGATGACGTCTTCTAGACTGAACAGACATTTCCTCTCTGCCTGTTTCAAATTATACTTGATAACCATAGCGTGTCTTTTATAACCTCGAGAAGGATCGGTTCATTACAGTTTTTCTTCGCATTGAGAGAAAAACATCTGCTCGCCTTGAGTCAGAATTAATTAATTTCTTACCTGGGCGGATTATAGATCGGTGCCGGAATTGGTCGCGGTTGGTTGTGTACCAAAGGCTGCCGAGGAACAGGTTCATATCGTTCTCCATTGGTGTACCGTGGGTCCGTGTAGTAAACAGAAGGGTCCTCTTTGTATTGGCCATCGTCCTCGGGTTCGTTGGGATTCGCGATACTGTTACCAGTCAAGGTTGGCGGAGCCACGTTTATTCCAGGACCAGCTGGCTCGAATCCGCGTCTCGACGCTCCATATTCGACTTCTCGAACACTTCCAGTATCGTCCACGAATCCGTATTTTCCATACACTTCCCCGGTAGGATACTTCGATTCGATCTTGTAAGAACCGTCAGCTGCCTCGTATCCGTAACTGTAGCTACCGTCCTCATTGTGTCTGGTCATTATTTAATTAATTAGTGACGGAATTTTAAGGAGATTTCCGAAATATTCGAAATTACGATTTTTATGTAGCTACTGTTTCTATGGAATTAACGTGGTTATTGTAATTTTGAGGTTAAGTTTGGAAATTGAAACTAAGTTAGCTTCTAATATGTTTAAAATTGTTATAGTATTCGGTAGACTTCTATTTTGTATTTTATTTAATTGATCTAACACCTCAGGCAGTTTTAAAATTAGTATTTGGTAGAGTTCGTGAAATTTTGGGGTTAGGTTTGAAAATTGAAGCTAAGTTAGATTCTAATATTTCTAAAATTATTATAGTATTTGGTAGACTTTAATTTTGTATCTTATTTAATTAATTTAACATCTTAGGTTGTTTTAAAATTAGTATTTGGTAGAGTTCGTGGAATTTTGAGGTTAGGTTTGGAAATCAAAGCTAAGTTAGATTCTAATAGTTCTAGAATTATTATAGTATTTGGTAGACTTCAATTTTGTATCCTATTTGATTGATTTAACACCTTACGCAATTTTAAAATTAGTATTTGGTAGAGTTCGTGGAATTTTGAGGTTAGGTTTGGAAATTAAAGCTATATTACCTTCTAATATTTTTAGAATTATTACAGTATTTGGTAGACTTCTATTTTGTATTTTATTTAATTGATCTAACACCTTAGATAATTTCAAAATTAGTATTTGATATAGTTCGTGGAATTTTGGGGTTAGGTTTGAAAACTGAAGCTAACTTAGAGTCTAATATTTCCAGAATTATTATAGTATTTGGTAGACTTCAATTTTCCCTCTTATTTAATTCATCTAACACCTTAGGCCGTTTTAAAATTAGTATTTGGTAGACTACAATTTTATAATTTATTTACTATGTACATATAATACTTAAGGCAATTTTAGGATTAATACTTGGTTAAACTTAAATGTTATTCGGCTACAAATTATTCACGAATGTAAAAGCGTGTGTTATTTTATTCTGAGAATTTTTTAGACTATCTCTCACACATATTGGAAATTTTCAAGTGTATTTGTTGGAGGATGAGATAATATTTAATAAATTTGTAATTTATCGATTTATAATTTAAAAAATTGCGATGTGAGAAATTTGCGTGAAAATTGAAAATTGCGATTTGAGAATTCGCAACGTGATTTAACTCGTGTTAGAAATTTTTAAATTGATATATCGGACCATGAGGTAACGTTGCAAATACTATCTCAGTATACAAAAAGTCACAGAAAAATGATTGATACGTAACGTTGTAAAATAGTGGGTAAATAATTTTCCGGTTATTGAAATAAGTCTTTTTCGAATAGGCAATTTCAAACGTTTTATATATGTTCATGGATAATTTCGACGAGGTAGCATTAATAAAATGGAGGATTGACGTAGAATAAGAAGGAAGTAAGTATATTAAAACGACGTTTGAAAGGTTGAAATATCGCGGTATGTCTTACACATAATTTAGTATGAAAAGCTACATTATTCTGTAACATTCAGCTATTTAGATTCATCGGCTTTTTACTTCTTCTATCGGTCACGCTCGAATCGCATTCGAAAAAGTTGGAAAACCGCGCGGAAATAGACTAATGCAATACTTGTGTAGCAATTTCCTACCTCTTACAGAATCGAGTAGAAATGCGAATTTGCCCTTGAAATTACAGACAAACGAATATTTTTACGAAACCCGTAGAGGCAACGCCTACTTCGAGGGTTGAATGTGGTTTTCGCAGCCGTTTATTGCTTAACGACCTATTTATATAAATTACCATATATTGAAGAAATACTTTCACGTGATATGCTCGTTTGCATATCGTTAAGAAATAACTTAATTTTCTGAACTGAGAGGTATCTTTTTATTTTCAGATAATTTTTTCATATTTTTATTACTATCTTTTTTGATATATCATATTTTTTCTAATCGTAGTTGGGTATGAATTTTGAAATTTACAAAAGAAAGTATGAGGAGTGAGTTCTATGGGAAATTAATTTATTTATTTAAATTATATATAGCAGAGATCGTAAATTAAAATTGAAGATTTTAATTTAATTTTAATTTTAATTTTAATTTAAATTAAAATTAATTCTATAGTTCAATCATTTTAAATATGCACTGTAATACGTTGTAAAAATACGAGATCACTATAGATTACAGACACAATAGTTTCTTAAATAAAAATCATAATTTTACAGCCCAAAGAAATCAAAAAGCTATTGCAGAATATTTTTTCATTCTTTATAAAAATATTAATTAATCCTTTCCATTCTAGATCGTAACATTTCCTAAATTAGTCTAATCTTTATAATAATCTTTTTCTTTTTAAGTTAATCTAATTTCATAATTAGTATCTTTCTAATTTATAGTCTGTATATCTTTCTAATTTATTCTAGTCTGCATAATAAATTAATGTTTTTTTTCTTTTTAATTACTCTAACCTTCATAATACATTAATTTCCTTCTTTCTAAATTATTCCAATTTTCATAATGAATCAATCTTTTATTTTTTAAATTAATCTATCCTTCGTAACAAATTAATATTCCTCCACTACATTAATCATATCTAAATTAATTTAATATTCATAATGTATTAGTCTTTTCTTGTCTAAATTATTTCAATTTCGATAGTAAATTAAATTACAACTAATTAATTTTCTTTCCCAATTTAATCAGATTCTAAAGATCGATGTTAATTAATATATAAAATTTAAAATTACTCAATAATGCAAAAATAATTCTATGTTTTAATTTTTGTATACGATTTCTTATTTATCCTTTTACAAATATTGTCGACTTTATGGCAGAAGTCTTCGAATTACTATTTTTTTATAACGAAAAAATCGTCAGGTGTAAAAGGTTAATTTTACCTAAATTATTCTAATTTTAATAATAGATTAATTTCCAAATTATTCCAATTTTCATAATAAATTAATTTCTCTTTCTCTGAATTAATCTAATCTTTTCATAGTAAATTTATCTTCTTCTACCCTATCTTCTTCTCTCCTTGACGTAACCAAACTTTCATACCAATTTAACCCTTTCTTTCCAAAATTCGTTCGATCTTTGCAACAAATAAGAAGCTCCAAAACCCTAAACTTCCTTCTCATCGAATTCTGCATAATCTCACATATTTTACAATTTGCTACTCACTCATAGTCCCACTAACAGCCCCCCCCCCGTCTGAATCCTTGATCTCGCACTTTTAGCCCGTAGTTTCAGCCAAGAGATAAATTGTCCCCGATAAAGTGACAAGCCAAAAGCAATGTTCCACGTTGAACGTAATATCGGGGTAATATCGCACCCTGTTACCTCAAATGAGAATCGTGATAACGAAACGGTACTCACTTATTTATCTGCTTCAAAATGGGCACCGGCGTGGTCACGGGGTACTGATTGTGCTGGGCGAGCGCAAGGCCAATGCAAAACAAGAGACACAGCACCTGGCGACACAAGTTTGCATAAAATCGCTGCCATTCGCGAATCACTTTCCAATAACCTCGTGCACAATGAAAAACGCTCGAGATTGCGTGTCTCTAAATGCACCTCGAATTACCTCTGCTTTTCACTTCAAACGGAAGTCTTAAATGTTACATCGATAAATGGTTCGCTCTTGCAGTGGAAAGGAAAAGAAACACATCGTTTCATGGAAATTAACATAATCTACCGCGCTTTTTCTTCTCCAACGTTTCCATTTTACTTGCTCGAGTTTATCATTCGATGGACTTTCTATCCGACTCGTTAAATAATTAGGCTATTTGCATTCTAATGGAAATATGATTTATGTTCCTCGAGAAGATCATTGGACTAAACTGGAAGCTGATCGAAATTGGATACGCGGTTTTCCTTCACTGCTTTCCTTCGAAATTGTAGATAAGAAAAGATTTGTACGTGGTAAAAGTAAACGGTAAATAGAAAGTGTATTTTATAAGTGTAAAAGGAACAAGAAGTTTGTCCAAGCACATTTGTTGGGGCATTAGAAAGGGAGAGGCAGAAATCAGGACCCTAGATAACCTACATACTTATCTTCTTGGACTCATCGGGCGAAATGTGACTCACGAATGGCGAAAAAATAGAAGATTTTAAAATAAATTAAAGAGAACGACTTTAAGCGAAAGATAAAATTATAATTCAAAACAAAAATTCGATTATAGAAAGTACATACTTGAAAGAAAAGATATATCTGAAGATTTTAGGTGAATTTTAATTTATTCTACTGTTTACAAATTTTAGTTCCTTGTGATATGTACTATTGAAAATTTTTGCAACGCAATGCTAGGTACTTTCACAATTTTATTTTTATGACACACCGAGAGAAATTTAGAAATTTTCTTTTTATCATTTTACAATTACGTAAAATATTTCTACGCCTATTAGTCGGTCGTAACAAAGAATAAACCTCTGCGCGTTTAAGCGAGCCACCAAACCATGAACACCAAGTGACTTACGTGTCTAGGGTTCTTAGACTCAGTGACAATGGTTAGCTCAGAAGAAAAGAGAGAAAAATAACGTTAGAACGATTGAAGCAGTCTCAAAATTGTTATAAACTATCGATTAATAGCGTACTATAAAACTTATGTTACAACGCTTCCGTTCACTATATTCCACACATGTATGTCACACATGACAACAGAGCCAAGTGAATGTCTCTGGCAAACGACATTCGAACCTGAAACCAACACCAACGAACCACCCCTGAAAAACATGCATATAACTATCACTACTTAAATGAGAAATATAAAATATAAAAATATAAAATATAAAATATAACGGAATAAAATAAAATATAATATAATATAATGGAAAAATAGAGAATAGAAAAATTTAAATGAAAAATGTAACAAATCGAAGCACTGACCATCCCCAAATTTTGTTACTGACCATCCCCAAATTTTGTTACTGACCATGCCCAATTTACACCTAAACCCATTACAAGGGTCTTAGAATGCCTACATTCGCTACATTCCGTCCATCACACATATAACAACAGACTCGAGTGAATGTCTCTGCCAAACGGACATACCAATCTAACTGATCCTAAAAGAAATAGACGTTAGAACTATTCCGTGTCCATTTAAATCACCTGTGATAAAAAGAAACTCGAGAATTCTGAAACACTAAAACTCTCACTAATTTCACCTAACAGAGACCAAAGGGATATACATGGGACAAAGAAATGTTTGTTTAAATCACGGAAACTATCAGAGAATTAAAGAAAACTCGAAACACTGACTCAGATTCAGATTGAAATTAATTGCATATAATGGAGACTAAACCTAACCTTCATTTAAATCACAAATACTTAAAAAATGAGGTATAAAAATTGGAAACACTAATTCAGACTCAAATATAAATTAATTGTATGTAATAAGGCATAATAATTTTTATATAAAGGTTAAAGAAACACGCATATAATAATTAAATGTTCATTTAAATCAGAAATACTATCAAAAAGATGAGGAAACTGACCAAGACTGAGACCCAAATTAACTGCACCTCGCAAAGGCCAATAGCATCACACGTACAGCGGCCCGAAAGCTATTTAAATCACCAATACCATCGAGAATCCCAAAAATGTCAAAACACTCGCTCAGGCCAAGGTCCAAGGCAATTAAGCCTAACAAAAACCAAAAGCAACTCGCATAAATAACCCAGCAGCCATTTAATTCACCAATATCATCGAGAAAGCCAAAATGTCTGAACACTCGCACAGACTCAGATCTAAATTAGTTACACCTAATGAAAACCAAAAGCAACTCACTGAACAACCCAGCAGCCATTTAATTCACCAGTATTGTCTAAAAAATTAAGGAAATACACTGACCCAGACGTAGACTCGAAACCAAACTAGCTACACCTAAACAGGGCTCAAAAGCAACAAATATCAAATTCCAAAAATTGGAAACACTAATCCAGACCTAAATCCAAACAAATTATACCTAAATTAAGCCCAGAAGCAACACTCGTAAACCATATATCGTCTATTTCGATCACCAATATTGTACAAAAATTCCTGAAACTGAGAACACTGACCCAGACTCAGACCCAGACCCAAACAAAGCCCAGAAGCAACACATATAGAAGCACGATATTCTACAAAAATTTAAAAAATTGGAAATTGGAAGCACTAGACCTAAAACTAAACAAATTATTCCTAAACTAAGCCCACAAGCAACACTGGTAAACTACCCACCGTCTATTTCGATCACCAATATTCTACAAAAATTCCTGAAACTGAGAACACTGACCCAGACTCAGACCCAGACCCAAACAAATTACAGTCGAACAAAGCCCAGAAGCAACACATATAGAAGCACGATATTCTACAAGAATTCAAAAAATTGGAAATTGGAAGCACTAGACCTAAAACTAAACAAATTATTCCTAAACCAAGCCCAGAAGCAACACTGGTAAACTACCCACCGTCTATTTCGATCACCAATATTCTACAAAAATTGCTGAAACTGAGAACACTGACCCAGACTCAGACCCAGACCCAAACAAATTACAGTCGAACAAAGCCCAGAAGCAACACATATAGAAGCACGATATTCTACAAGAATTCAAAAAATTGGAAATTGGAAGCACTAGACCTAAAACTAAACAAATTATTCCTAAACCAAGCCCAGAAGCAACACTGGTAAACTACCCACCGTCTATTTCGATCACCAATATTCTACAAAAATTGCTGAAACTGAGAACACTGACCCAGACTCAGACCCAGACCCAAACAAATTACAGTCGAACAAAGCCCAGAAGCAACACATATAGAAGCACGATATTCTACAAGAATTCAAAAAATTGGAAATTGGAAGCACTAGACCTAAAACTAAACAAATTATTCCTAAACCAAGCCCAGAAGCAACACTGGTAAACTACCCACCGTCTATTTCGATCACCAATATTCTACAAAAATTGCTGAAACTGAGAACACTGACCCAGACCCGGACCCAAAGAAATTGCAGCCGAACCAAGCCCAGAAGCAACGCACGTCAACCCATCGTCCATTTAAATCACGAATGCCAACAGAAAACTCTAGACACTGTCCCAGACCCAAAGGCAAATGCAAAGAGACTACATGAAAACAGAGAGCACTGGTCGATATGTCAAACGATTCATGATCAGTCCCCACGCGGCTATGCAGGGACCCAGCCTTGCGAAGGAAGAAGTCGAACACAGTGGATAGTAGCAGGCACTGATCAGGCAAAGGAGGAAAATGGAGGAATACTCACGGGAAGACGCATGTCTCGTGGCTGATGAGGCAGACGCGATTGTGTTATAGGATCGCGTTACACCGGCCGCGAGTCAACTTATATAGGTCCCCATCGGGAGCGGCGGGGCCCGCCCATGGGCCCGACCACCGCCTCAGCCTCGTCGCTATCTAAGTACCAGAGTTCACCGCACCGCAGCACGACTTTGAAAATTTCTAACATACCAATTTTCCCTCGACGTCCAGCGTCACACGTCCCTGGTTTTCGGTCCGCGGTCCCCGTTGCGTAAGCTGGCGAAGGCGTCGCGACGTCTCCGCGATTGGGACCACTGCCAGGGACCACGTTTTGGAAATCGAGCAGGCTTTCGTATCGCCCAGTGTCAATTGTAATTCGATCGTCGCTCGCGTTGTGCTTTTTCCTTTTATTTCTTTTTCGGAACGTGTTGTGGACGCTGATTTTAGTGACCAGTGCTGGATGGATTCTTTATTTTATTTTACGTACGTGTTGGTGTTTCGATTGCTGTCGGTGTTTGTTGCTTAATTTTTAGTTTGGGTTTGGGTCTAGTGGGTTCTTTCTGGATTTTCGGATTTTTTATACAAATGTGTTGTGTTTTTAAGTTGTATATGTTTGTTTAAATTTGTAATTGTTGTAATTGTAATTGTTTGTTCGTATAAGTTGTATATGTGTGTTTGTTTGTGTATAGTTTGGTACTGTTTTTTGTATTCTATCGTGCACTATGTATTTTGAAAATAGTATTGTGTTATTGAATTGTATATGTTACATGTGTTTATTTATGTTTGGTATTAATTATAGCATTTTTAGTGGATAATATTTATTGGAGTATGTGGTGTTTACATTTGTATCTGTGATTGTAAGAAAAAATACCGTGTGTCGTCATTGAAAAATATTTTATTTATTATATTTATATTTTATATTTTATTTATTATTTATTTATTTTAATTGCAAAATGTGCGATGTATGTATTTATTATAAAATAAAGAATAAAATAAAGCCTTGTGTGTTTAAAACAATTGTGCAATTTAATCGATTTTCAGAACTTTAAATCGCGAAATTTCGAGAATGTAGTATTACAGAAAATATGTAGTATTTTTTCCTTATAAATACAGGTATGTTATATTCAACAAAATTTTTATATTGTCGATATTCGATTATTTAATATGTATATTATATAATTAATGACATTGTATACATTATATTCGACAATTGGATTTTCCAAAACAGTTTAATATAAATATTGGTATTGAAGAATAAATAAACCGAAGTATTATAATATAAATGAAAAATTTTCCACGATTTAATAATTTTTGAAATGATTGATAAATTAAGAAATCTCGTGTGTTTTTCATACCAGTATAAAAATATGTAGTTAAAACTTGGTTTTCGTGACTGACAGACCACTTAATGACGATATTCTGAAATCTGCTGCCTGAATATCTTCATATAGTATTCGTATGTTACCCACAAACAGGATTCTGCAAGGTGATCTTCTGGAGAATACATATTTTTCACAAGGACATCATATGTAATGTCGTCCGCAAAAATAAGTTGTTTACCTCTAGTACTCGTATCTATTAAAATTGAAATCTGAACCATTTTCTGATTCTGTCTCACCTAGGTTTCTATATAATTTGTGCAATAATCTCGTTGCAGATATTATAGTCGTAATCAACACCAGTTTCTTAATAGGAACGATAAAACGCATTGTAATAGAGAAACATACTATATTATAATAATAAAATAAATTAATTATTCTGTACAATTCAATGACAATATTTTTTTTACGTTTTGAAAGAACATTTTTATACAAATTTAATATTTTCTTTCAACAATAGTAACATAAAAAATATATTTCTAAATATACAATTATAAATAAATATTCTTAATAATCTTTCAATTACAGAAAGATAATTTTTCTATGAGAACAAAATTTATCCAAGAGTAAAAATAAAATTTTCCTAGTAACCCAAAATTCTCCCAATTTAAAAAAAATCTTTCTAGTAATTTAAAATGGTAGAAATTAGAAAAATAAAATTTTTCTAGTAATTAATAGTTCTGTTATAAAAATCAAAGTTTTCTAATTATAAAAATTATGTTTCCGGTAATTAAAAATTTTTCTAATTATTAAAATAAAAATATAAGAATATTTTTAAATAAAGTATTTTTAAATAAAGTATTTTTAAATAAAATATTTTTCAATAGTCTAAGATTCTCCCAATGATGGAAATAAAATTTTCTTGTTAATAAAGATTGGTAACTTCTAAATCGGTAAAAATTAGAAAAATAAAATTTTTCTAGTAATTAATAATTCTGCTATAAAAATTTAAGTTTTTCTAATTATAAAAATTATGTTTCTGGTAATTAAAAATTTTCCTAGTTATTAAAATAACATTTTTTTAATATTCAAAAATTCTCCCAATGGTGGAAATAAAATTTTCTTACAAATGAAAAATGGTAACTTGTCAACTAGTCTTCCGTGAACTTCGGTAACTCTTCTAAAGTGGAACAAGGAGGAAGTATGACGCTATAATTACACAAATGACCGGCTAACCGAGAACTTTCCCGATCATATAAGAGAACTTCTTGACATTTATCGTGGTTGTATTAAGGGCATTATAAGGCTCAACCGAGTGAAGTATACACTCCTTTGGCGATCTTGCAACCCGAGTACCCGATTCGTGAGAATCAATTTCTGTACAAATAACTTTCACGTTCGGAAACATCTTTTTTTAACACCTTTCTCTTATGTAACATCCTTTGTAATTTTGACACGTTTGTACTTGTTACTTTTTATTACCGTGTTTATTGCAAATTAACAGGTGTGAGAGTTCAAAAAATGGTAACATGCAATTTCACAATTTAAACCAAATATTTAACCTGCAATTATTCACTTAATTATTCGAAAAACATGAGAATTTATATAATTTTAAATTTCTCTTTATTTATGCGAATTCTTATTATGCTTTTATGATCGTTCTTGTATTTATCAATAATGATAACATAGTTAATGATAATAATGATAAAAATTGGAGAAAATTGGCAAAAATTAGGGAAAATTGGTAAGGACTGTCAAAAATTGTCAAAAAGTGGTGAAAATTGTTAATATTAAAATTCGATAATCCGATTTTTGCGATAAACAAATTTCATATTTAAAGAAAAGGATAATAATAACATAGATAGTGATAATCATGATAAAAGTTAGAAAAAATTGGCAAAAATTATGGAAAATTGATAAAAACTGTCAAAAATTGTCAAAAAGTAATGAAAATTGTTAATATTAAAATTCGATAATCCGATTCTGCGACAAACACATTTTATATTTAGAGAAAAGATCAATAATAACCTAGATAATGATAATCATGATAAAAATTAGAAAAAATTGGCAAAAATTAGGGAAAATTAGTAAAATTTGATATTAAAATTCGATAATCCGATTTTTCCGACGAGCACGTTATATTTAATGAAAAATATAAAATGAACAAACATACTGCCAAAATTCTACAGAATGTTTAATCAATTATATAAGTAATTTAACAGTAATAAGTAATTAAACAGTTATAAGTAATTTAATCAACCACAGTAAATTTAATAAATTCCAAATAATTAATATAACACAGGAACCATCAAACGTCCTCCACCTACCCATATCTTTCTTTTCAATTTGCCCCACGATCTTGCCATAAATCCTCCCTGTATTTACTCTACAGATTCCCAAGCAATTTTCCAATACTTCAAATACCTCGAGCAAGACATTCGAGTCGCCTCACGATTTACAATCGGCGTGCGATCCTCGGGCGATCGTGATCGAAATGCATGCGTCACGAAGACATCTGAGGTTGGTCGCAGTGAAAGTGCAGAAAAAGACAGTGCTCCGGAATTTATATTCGCGGAATGATAAACAGGTCGTAACGTCATTGTCGCTACAGTCACATGGCAGCCGGTAGCGAGTTCAATGCTCGTCAATCGAAGGGACGTTAGGCCCGATCCGTTTACGCAACGCTGTTACGTACGATATAATTTCATATTAATGCCCGGCATTTGTGCTACTAGAACAGAGGCGTTCACTTTCCTTCTTTTATCCTCTTTTTTCCTGACTTTCTTCAATGTTGCATCATCGACATTGGCGGCCTGGCGAGTTGCTTTCGTTTCGTTGCCGGAGCTACTCTTGAGTTTGTTTACCTAATCAAATAATTAATGCTATCCTTTCATCTTATGACATTTTTATTGGTATTATTATTATTATTATTATTATTATTTATTGTTGCATGGTCGATAACGAGATTTGACGAGTTACTTTCGTTTCGTTGATGGAGCTAATGTTAAGTTTGTAGATCTAATTAAATAATTAATGATATCCTTTCATCTTACGACACATTTATTATTATTATTATTTATTGTGGCATGGTGGATAATGAGATTTGGCGAGTTGCTTTCGCTTCGTTGGTAGAGCTACTGTAGTATTTGTACATCTAATTAAATAATTAATGATTTCATTTCACCTTATGACATTTTTATTATTATTATTATTACTGTTATTATTGTTGTCATTGTTGTGGTCGTTGTCGTTATTGTCGTTGTTGTTATTGTCGGCGTCGTTATTGCTATTGCTATTGATATGGATATGGATATGGCTATTGCCTTGTTTTGATTTGTTTTGCCTTTCTCTGTTTTCTTTTGTTTTATTTTGTTTTTCAGTCGCTGTCACTGTTGCTGTTGTTATTGTTGCGTGGTCGATAATGAGATTTGGCGAGTTACTTTCGTTTCGTTGGTGGAGCTATTGTTCACTTTGTAGATCTAATTAAATAATTAATAATATTCTTTTACCTTGTGATGTTTTTGTTAATTTTCTTTATCGTTAGGTGGTTAATAATGAGGTACTTTAGAATTCGTAGGTTTCATAAAATAAATTTCGTAACTATATTTGTTATCAAAATAAGATTATGCGAAGAAAGCTGTTGGTTTCACAGTGATGAGTATATGTGTGTATATAGTGAGTACATGTAATGACTTCCTCTGATCTCTGGCTACCAAGTTTGACACAACACTGCCTTCTCGAGAGGATCGTCCAGCGCTTTCTCTAATTTTTTCCTTGAAACTGCCATCATGCCTCTGGTCGTCGAAGATATTCCATATCCATTGTATGGATTAGTTGTTATTTCTGAATTCTGAGATATCAGTTCTGAGCTTTTAGTCGTAAGTTTTGAGTTCTAAATTATGAGATCTGAGTTCTGAATACCGAGTTCTGAGTTTTAAGTTTTAGGTTCCGAATTTTAAACTCTGAGATCTGAGTTCTGACTTCTGACTTCTGTGTTCTGAGTTCTGAGTTCTGAATTCTGTGTCCTGGGTTCTGGGTTCTGAATTCTGAGTTCTGAGTTCCGATATTGGATTTTTTGTTAATGACAGTGATATTATTTTTGGAATAGAAGAGAAATAATTAATTATTTTAGAAAGGAGTTGTTAAATTTGAATTTATTACAGGGTTTGCTGTGAGAAGGTATTGCAGAGATTTGAATATACAAACCATGTATGTTATTGGGGATTTTGAATATTGAGATTTTAGTGAAAATGTTGAAGCACTTTTGAAAAGTAAATAATTAACCTTGCATTAGTAAAAATTGTCAATAAAAATTATAAATATGACATAATTTAAATAAAATATATATTGAGAAGAGAAGAAAGTAGTTTTTACTATATACTATAATATCGCTTTTCATAAATAATTTTCTAATTATTTCTTATTTCACAGATTTTGTAGAATATAAATATCACGTGATATAGATAGCTAACATTCTACCAAAACTATTTAATATTAATTTTCGATATTTGAGAATTGATATTTCTTTTTTAATAGAAATTAAAATATTGTTTTTCGCAAAAATTTTAGTTATATTTTTCCGATTTAAACAATATTGGTCTTTTGATGAATGTAAATACGTACTTACAAAGCCTAGTCGGTTGGTTGTGAATGAGGTTCTTCCGTTCACCGTAAGGGAACGGCACTTTGCTGCCAGAGAATGGCACATTGCACCGCGCCTGATCATGGATTGCCAACTCTACTGCGGTGCATATATGCAAACATAGAAAGGGTACTTGTCGAAAACAAACCAATTTTGAAAGAAAATACAAATAAAATAAAATTTCTATACGAAACCAATTAAAATTACCACTTTTAATAACACTAGTGAGAGCTTACAACCACTATATAATAAATACAAGACAATACAAGAGAACAAACTAGAAAATAAAAAATATATAATAATAATAAATTAGAATATAAAAAGTACTACATAATATTTCAATTCGAACGAGAACCATTATAAACATAAATTTTACGAAAATCACTAATCGCAGAAATAAAACACATCTCACCAATCCTTTCAACTCACTTTACAATTCTAATATCAGTATTATCAATTCATACCCTATCATTACATCCAAATAAAAAATAATCTTCCTCCCTTCCTTCCTCCCTTCCATCCACCTCAGTTTTCCCAGAACTTCCCTGTACCTCACCCAAATTTCATACCCAAAGCAACCCAACGAACCTAACTCAACCAACATTTCTTTCCCACCAGTTCGTCAATGAGCACGTTAAATCCATCTGATCTCGAAATGCGAAGATAACGAGATAAGAGGCCGATAAAGGGTCGCGTTGCATATTCATGCAATTACTTTAATTGACCCGTCTCGCCGCTTCATCGAGGGCTACCCATGAGCAGCAGTAGGTGTCGTGACTCTCGATGCTTAATCCTGCTGCGTCTTCCGTTAATTCACAAATCTCGATCATCGACCTATTCCAGCGTTCCATGCGCAAATCCCGGTTACCAGCCCCGGCAACCATCTAACAGCGTTACTCGTGATATACGAAATTGAAACGTCACATAAAGCAGGACGCGGTGGACGTGCATCGAAAGAGCAATTATCATGGCCGCCGGCATTTCGGCACACAATGTATACTCAGCGGTGTATATTTCATCGACGGAACGCGAACTCGCCGGCCGGCGGATGCCATTCGCATGAAAAAGTTAGGGGTTCGAGTGGTATGCGGTCCGGAGACACGTTTTGGCAATGGACGTCGTACCGGTGGAGAAAAATGGAGAAAAAGCCTGGCTGCTCGAAGTGTTTTACGACTTTCTTCGACGTAGATCGCCGTGTCCCTTTCATAGTAAAGACCTGTTTGTTTGGCATTCCGATCGTTTGATCCTGCTATTAATTGCGTGTTATGGGGCTGAAGCGGAGGGTATTTAAGGCAGAAACTGGCGAGCGAATCGCGACTCCTTTAAGTGGCTTAAAAGCTTCTGATTGATGACAGCAGTTTAGTTGCCGGCTATTCGGGGGTTAATAGTGTTTTAAATAAGCGTTTTATTAGCAGAGAATTTAAATGGCGAAATGAGCGTTGGATTCTTTGAACGAGGTTGTTAAACATGTTACACTGTCGTCCAAAAGTTTCCGATATTCGTGCTTTTGATATTCGTGGTTTATGGCAAATATAAAAATCAAATAGGAAATAACGTGATTGGATGGTTGAAAGATTTTATCCACCATCGAGTGTGGATTTTATATCTCTCAGCAGTGATATTTCGTTGTTCCCTGGTTTCATTCGGAATTATTTTCACGATAAGGTGGTACGGGAAAAAAGGAGGCGATTCTACGTCAAAAAGCGAGTCGAAAATGAAGAATAAAATTTTTCCATTCGAGACTTCGTTTTTGAGAAAATCGAGGTCGAATTTCTAATCGTAGGCGCTCCGTCGGTAGCCATATTGCGTGTGTGCACCAGGAAGTTGAGGATCGATTATTTTGGTACTGAAGCCTCGAACGAAAAAATGTTATTCCTTCTCTTTTGCTCATTTTTACTCGCTGAATCGTTTCCTACCTTTATTTACACGATCGTATTAAAATTACCACTACACCAAAACGTTTTATCCCCGATACCAGTTTCTATAGCCTCACTAGGTACATATATCCTGACAAATCCTCCGTAACTGTCACTAAAAATGCATATACAACGCTAAAGTGAAAAGGAACCGACGAGAAACTATGTTCCAAAGGTATCCAAGCCTCATCATTCACGGAATGGATTTCAGCCGAGCATCCTTGAACCCCACACGCGAAATTCGCGGTCTTAAGAACGTCGCCGTTAATTCCGGCGTCGGACACGCGCAGCCTCAAATCAGCCTAACATCACAATCGCGGCAAATTGCATGGCTCCTCTCGGTGCATCGCGAATCAAGCGCCATTCGTCGTGGCCGTATCGAAACAATCTGCGCTTTCGGATTCACCGTATCGTCGGCATTACTTACGGCACACCGGGCGTAAATAACGAGAATTTCATCCTGATTGCGCGTTATCTCGGGCCCCGATGATAATGCTAACCGGGGCTACAATTATCCCGGTGGTTAACTCCCCTGAGTCAAGGATGAATCATGGCATTGCTCGGCCCGGAGCAACCGGTCCAACCGCGTTCGAATTATTTTGCCCCGTATATCATAATCGGGAGCCAATTATTGGCCGAACGGTGGCGTACTCGGAGCAATCGGAGCGTGCACCTGCGATTCCACGCGATGCGGCTCGCGTCGCCGATGCGCGCGCATCCCCTCGGAATAAATCAGAGGGCGCTGGCGGCGCGAGTACAGGCACGGAACATGGTATTTGGAGATGGTGGTTTGGTAGTCAAGGAAGATGCGAACCGGAATGGGGTTTTTTTAAGAGGGAAGATTGGATATAATTCTCTTTATTAGACGGTGTTAATAGGCAGATATTAATATGCAAATGTATACTTTATTATATGAAAAGGGAAGGTATTAAAATAATTATTTTGTCGCTGTAGTATTCATGATAATTGGAGATGGTGGTTTTGGTATTCGACAAAGTTGGGAATCGGATTGAGAATTTTTTTAAGGGGGAAGATTGGGTGTAATTCTCTTTATTAGACGGTGTTAATAGGCAGATATTAATATGCAAACGTGTATTTTATTATATAAAATGGGAAGGTATTAAAATAATTATTTTGTCGCGGTGGTATTCATGATATTTGGAAATGGTGGTTTGGTAGTCGAGGAAGATCAATGCAAACGTGTACTTTATTATATGAAATGGGAAGGTATTAAAATAATTATTTTGTTGTGGTGATATTCATAATATTTAGAGATGGTGATTTTGGTAGTCGACAAAGATGTGAATCGGAATGGGAATTTTTTAAAGAGAGAAGATTGACTGTATTTGTCCTTATTGGTCAGTGTTAATAGGCAGGTATTAATATTTAAACTTGTACTTTATTATATGAAATGGGAAGGTATTGAAATAATTATTTTGTTGTGGTGCTATTCATGATATTTGGGGATGGTGGTTTGTAGTGGACAAAGATGTGAATCGGAATGGGAATTTTTATTCCTTTGTATTGTATGAAGTGTACCCTATAGCCCTATGGGTTACTCCAATTGTACATCTTTTTGTATAATTATTTCTAAGGAAGAATATTTTATAAATTTTTCTTTGTTCTTTACCTTCTGAGATATATATATTAAAAATAAAAATAGGCTTTAGGCAAATTATTCAAATTTCCTATTTTTAAGTTTAGTATCTATGTATATCTTGAAAGATAAAAAATACACAGAAGTTTGAAAATTATTACATTCGTAATAACTTCTGTAATAAATCAATATAAAATGCGAAGGTTTGTTAAATAATATTTTGTGCTTCATTGAAAGTAAATCCATTATCGTTTCTCATATATATATTTTTATTATGGTTTTTTCAATTTATGACCACATAAACCAATATTTATACGACATTTTCGTCTCATTTTTATATATTCATGGTTTCTTAATTTACGACCCCATAAATATATTTTTATATGACATTTTTCTGTCTCTTTTAATTGACAAGCTTTATAGAAACTGAGACACTCTGTATTCCCTAAGTTGTTTATTACATTTCAATTTCGGTACCTAAATAATACAAAACTTTTACGACGCGATAAATGAATATTCTTTTTCTCTCTTACACGAATTTTAATTCGACTTCGCATTTCGTCTCGATATAGTGCATCGATAAATCTAAAATTCAGTTTACTCTCTCTCTCTTTCTAAAAAAAAATCGAGCAATTAATCCCCAATGCTAATTTAAATCACGATAAAATTAACGACGCACGACGAATCATCGATCATTTTCTATCTGTCGTTAATCCAACTACGCCTATGCCATGAAACCATCATCCATCAGTATGCTATTCAACAACAACAGTATCCTTGATACGTTCTGCGAATTTATTCATACCGTGGAAAAATCGCGAGGAGCAGGAAGAATGATTATAAAATAAAGGAAACGATCCTAATTTCGTTCGACTATGGATCGGAAAATGATTTTTAC